CTCCTGACTCCCAGTCCTGGGCAGTACCACAAAACAATGCTACCTCCCAAAACATGGCCTTCTCATTGTTACACCACACAAAGAGAAGTCCCAGCAGTAAGTATAACTAAAAATATGACTTCAGTGTAAAGGAGAATTTAGCTGATTGCTACAAGACTCACATTTTTCCTATAATGGGTCTTCTCAGAGACCTCCTTTTGGGAGGGGAAAACAGAGCAGCTGGGCATCTTTGCTGGTTACCAGGGTTTGTGGCACTTGGAAGATGGGAGCGGGCCAGCTGCCACACACTTTGTGGATGAGGAGATGGGTCTGAAACCTGGGAAGAAAGAATCGGGGTCTGTCCACACTTAAAATGCTACAGTGCCGCTGCTGCAGCTGCATCACTGTAGCTCTTCAATGTAGACGCTACGTATGCTGGCAGGAGGGGTTCATAATAATTCTTCCATTGACCTAGCACTGTCTCAAGCAGGGGTTAGGTTGGTATAGCTTCATCTCTCATGGGTGTGGATTTTTCTCACCCCAAGAGATGTAGCCAATACCATGGAAGTTCCTAGTGTAGACCAGGCCTCAGAGTGGGCAGACAAACCTCAACATATGCTACCTGCATTAAATTCATGGGGTAGCCATAACGTTACCACTGAACACGGCCTAAAATGACCAAATTCCAGATTTAACTTGAAGCTGTAACCCCAGAAATTAAATTTGAATTTCAAAGCTGAAAGTCTGTTAGACAATAATTTACACATCGCATAGAAACAGAGAAAGGGAGAGTAGTGGGTATTTGCAATTCTGCTTTAACCACCCCTCTCTGATCAGGGCCAGTTCAAGCAAATCCATGGATTTCTGCATAGTAATCTGATTGTCCTCCAAGGTCCAGGGAGCAACATCCTCCACCCCATTTGATCCACATTCCTTTCCCATGCCAACGGTGTGGGCAGAAGTGTAGACCTATAGGGGTTGGATAATAGGGAATCTGTCTAGAACTGCTGCATGTGTTTGTGGAGTGAGTATGGGAAATAGTGGATGGGGGCTTCCTATGTTAAAGGTGGTGAGAGGAAATCTGCATTGTGTCCCAGCCATGGCCAAGATAAGGAGGGGGGCATGTAGAGAAATTTAGATTCTTTGGGGCTCAAATTATTATCACTTTGAAGCTTACAGCCAGCACTGACTATATCATACAGCACGACACAGAGAAGTGTAAGCAGTGAACGTTAAACTAACTTCAACCTGCCTTTGTAGGAAAAAAACCCCAAGAGACAAGGGTCCTCTACAGCTGCAGGTTTGATAGCATTGTCTGAATCAGCCTGGTCTCTCATCAGTCAGGAACCAGACACATCTTCGTATAATTCCCAGCTCAGAGGACCCAGAGTGTTGGCAGTGACAAGAAACCCAGTGCTAGAGCAAGTCCCTTGACGTCTAACTCACTTTCCCCCCCTCTATGAAATGGATATAGTATTCTACCTGCTTCATAGGGGTGATGTGGGAATTAGTTATATATTTATAAAGTATTTTGATCATGAAAAGCATTCAGTATTTTATTTTTATGTTCCTATTTTCAGTGGCTTAGAATGTACTCCCCAAACTACTTCTTGAACTGAAATTCCTCATGCTTAGTCACAGCTCAGAGGTGAATTTGTGCTAGAAAATTTGAAGACAATCAGTCCTCTCTTTTCTGAGTGTCAGTGTGAGACCATATGCGGTGTTAGGTAAGGAGAGGGTTAATACACTGTTATTAACAGGTGTTGCTCCTCAGTGTAGGGATTGCAGAGGAACCCTTTCAGGAGGGATATAGAAATGGGTGCCTCCTTAATAGGCTGAGGAGCAACTGAGAATAACAAGGATAGGGTCGTGGTTGGGGGAGCCATTAACTTTTTTAGTATTGAAGGCAAAAGACCAGGTTTTCAGCCACATAGAGACAAGGGTAAGACTATCTGACAGAGCAACTTCTTCCAATGTAATTGAGACTAGAAGCAAAAGAAACTGGTTTTCCCTTAGGGTAGGACTACTGAGTGTTTCCATCATGAGTAAAGGTCAATGGATCCAAATGTATCTATCTAGACAAAGAAGAAAGGTGATACTATTGAGAATCAAAGAAGTATGGCTCTTTGGTTTGACTTATGAAGCCATATTGCCTTTCATGTGTTAAGTCTGGCTGAACTAAAACTAATGTGTTAAAGGCAGTGTCCTTTGTGTATCATAGACTGTTAAAATGTATTAGTTGGTATGTTAACGTGTGCTAATGTTATACAATCCTTGCCAATATCTGTCTGTGCCTATCAGTAGTAAGCACATAGACTGAACGCTTATTTTAAAATGATCATTCGTGAAATAATTAACAATGGTATTTTATTTTCTCACTTCTAGTTTTCAAAATTTAACTCCATTGGAATGAATAGTGGGAGTTCACGTCACATAGGTTGCTTTTAGGCTACTTACAGATGTGAAGAGTAAACACCACATTGTTTTTTCTTTGATTTTACATTTGGAAGTTTTCTCAATCAGAAGGACTAGCAATGTAACTTGTCAAAAAGGAAAGCTTAGATTCTGTGGCAGTTTTGTAGAATTGTGAAAGACATTGGCCTTGGGTATCTATCACATACTACTGTAAGACGTTGTTTATTGTATTGTGGCAGTGGACAGAAATGTAGGCTCTATTGTACTAAACATTGTGCACACAGAATTGAAAGACAGTCCCTGCTCCAAAGAGTTTACTACATGTTGAAATAGTCTGTTTGCCAATGAATCTATTATAACATCTTAACCTTTGATATAATATACTGTTTTTTATTGCTCTTTGAAATGGAAAAATAAAGGAATAAAAAGTACATATATTTGTACTTTTTGTCATGCCTTTAGGATATCAGAAAATGGTGTGTAATTTTGTTATGTGATATTACACTGTGTGTGTGTGGTGGGGTGGGGAGAGAATGGAAGGAGGAAGAACAGAAGTGTTTAGAGAGGTGCGGGGAAGGAGACAACAATACATAGGAAGGGGGTGTCTGAGGCCTTGTCTATGCACAGAGCTCGCACCATTTTAACCAAAATTGTTTTAAAAATGTATTTATTTAAATCAGTATGCCCTCTGTACACCATGCTTGAATAGACTTATTGCTGGCTTATACTGAAATTACTGAATAAAGGTAAATTGATCTAAACCAGCTGTAAACCAATTTCAGAACATCTGCACAGGAGTTTGCATTGGTTTAACTAAATCTATTTTAAAACAGATTTTAAAATGTGGAAAGTTTTATGCTTAGACAAGGCTTGAGACACAGAAGGTGGAAGAGAGGGGGACAAGAAAAATACTAGGATAAGAGGACGTTAATTTTTAAGTATTCTCAACTGTGTGTAAAGTTGAATTTCTTTTAATTTTGGGGAGTTCTGGTTGCACTCAAACTTTGTTCTTATCGCTTACATCATCTATCCAAAATCTCTGTGGAATTTAGACCTGAGAGCTCTTTTAAAAATACATTAATGTTTTTTGAAACATTTGGGAACTTTTACATTTTAAATGCCCACCATTCCTACTGAGAGACTTGGAAAAGTCTGCTACATTCAAGAGATACACTGAACTCAAAGTTGCTGCTGCCTTAGGAGTGAGTTGATGTCGAGAGTCATGATGACCAAAAAGAAGGTCCAAATTTAGCCATAGGCTTCTGTCAAATATCATGCGCTTTTATGTCAGAGTAATACAGCACCTGGGTAATGAGAATTAAAGGACCTCAAATGATGCTGAACCATAGTGATGTCAATGCTCCCTCTAATTGAAACTGGGGAGGGGAGAAGGTTCGGGTGAGGGTAAGGCTAAGACCTGCTCCCAGTGTGTAAGCTAGTTTCTCTCTGGTTAAACAGAACACTGCCGGATTTTAAATTCACTGTTATGGGAGCCACGCCGCGCACTGCTCTATGTTTACATTTTGCAGCCAGCTCCACGTTGTCGGCCCTAACTCCCTCCCCATTGGCTCGAGGCTGGCCCTGACTCCGCCCGGGGGTGGAGCTCCGCGCCGGGCTGCGGCGTGTTCTGGCTGTAGGGGGAAGGCGTCGGTGGGGACAGCTGTGCTGTTCCTTGCTGCACCCCCCCGAGCAGGAATCCCGGGCGCATTGCATGGGCCGGGCCGGAGGCGACGGGGAGAGGTGTAGGGAGTTCCTGCTCTGTGTGTGTGTGGAGCTGGGCGTGAGGCTGCTGCTGGCGAATGACCTCCCTTTGGGAGTTGCAGCCGCCTGGCGTGTAGTGTACTGGACTGGGGCAGAGCAGAATTGTATGTAGGTCGGTGCCTGTATGGGAGCATGGGGAACCCGAGATGAGGCTGCATATCCCTGCAGGGGTGAGGCTGCTGTGCCCTGCCCCTGGGAGCAGCAAGTTGGGGTGCCCTGGGCCATGTTGGGGGCAGGGAAGGCTGTCTAGGTGGGGCCCTGGCTGTGTTGGGGGCAGAGCACATAGGGGCAGGGAAGGCTGCCTAGCGGGTGCCCTGGCTGTGTTGGAGGCAGGGAAGGCTGTCCAGTGGGTGCCCTGGCTGTGGTGGGGGCAAGCAGAGCACATGGGGCAGGGAAGGCTGTTCAGTAGGTGCCATGGCCTGCTGGGAGCAGGCAGAGCATATGGGACAGGGAAGGCTGTTCAGTGGGTGCCCTGGCTGTGTTGGGGGCAGAGCACATAGGGGCAGGGAAGGCTGCCTAGCGGGTGCCCTGGCTGTGTTGGGGGCAGGCAAGGCTGTCCAGTGGGTGCCCTGGCCGTGGTGGGGGCAGGCAGAGCACATGAGACAGGGAAGGCTGTCCAAGGGTGCCCTGGCTGCATAGGAGAGGGAGGGTGGGGGACTGTTGATCTCTGGAGGCTTGTCGGACTGCTGGAGAGTGCAGCAGGCTGGGGGTGCCCTGTGCTGCATGGGGGGGCTGTGCACGTGGGGTGTGAGTAGGGCGCGGGTGTTGCAGGGAGGGACGATGACGGGGGGTGATGAGCCGGGACGCCCTTGCGCATGCGCAGGGGAGGGCCCGGGCGGCAGTATATAGGGGCTTGGCGCCGGCGCCAGCTGAGCAGCAGTGAGCCGGCCGACAGCGGGTGAGGTGCGCCCGGCTGAAGGGTCTGGGGGTCGGGCGGGCAGGCTGGCGGGCAATGCATGAGGGGGTGTCCCCGAGCCTGGGGCAGGGCCGGGGCGGGACGCGGCGAGGCGGGGGGGGACAGATGGGCCGGGGTGGGGGGACAAGGCGCTGAGGTGCCTGTACCGCCCCCTCCTGCGGGCTGGGGGGCGGCGGGCCCGGGGGTCGGCGGTGGCGCCCCGGCTCTGGAGGGCCCGCTCCGGGGCGATCGGCGGGGACTGGGCCCCGCGCGGTGGCGGGGCCGCGGCTTGTGGCGCGGCGGGATGCCCGCCCGGGCGCTGTTTTGGAGGGAGAGTGGCTGGGGAGAGGTGTCTGGCGGGCGCTCCCCATCCCGCCCCCGGGCGCCCCCTGCGAGCCTCTCTGAGCATGGGGGCCCTGGGCACGCCGGGGGCTGCGCCTCCCTCCGCGGGGTGACGGGGGGTGTCGGCTGCAGCCCCCTGCCCCCCAGCCCTGGGGTGACCCCCTTCCGCGCTGGCCCCTGTTGGAGTGGGGGCCGGGGCGCCGGTGCCTGAGGTTTTGGAGGGAGACTGGCTCGGTGCAGGGAGGGAGGGGGGTGGGGAATCCGGCTGGGGCGGCTAATCCAGCCCCTGGCTGGCCCCATTATACCGCCCATAGAGAGTAAAACGGGGGGGGGGCGTGTGAGGAGGGGCTCCCCTTCCCCCCGGCTGAGTGACTTAGCGCGGGGTGGCGGGTGCCCGGCGGGAGACCCGCATTGCCTCCCACCCGTGAACGGGGCAGGGGAGGCCGTGTGTGGAGTGGGGGTATGTGGAGGGGGGGGTCTCCCTGTGCTTGGGGGGTGGGGGGGACTGGCTCGGGGTGCAGGGCGTCTGGCTCGGGATCCTGCCCTGCTCCCTCGCTAACCTTGCCCCGCTGGGAGGGTGCAGGCGCACGGGGCGGGGAAGGGGCTGCCTTTTTGGAGGGAGCCTGGCCCCGTGCGGGCGCGGGAGGAAAGTGCCCGCCCGCGTGGACCCCCTGCCCTGTGACATGCGGGGGGATGGGTCCCCGGCAGGTCCCGGGGGTGGAGCGGGGGAGGCCTCACCAGGGGGACGCCCTGAGCCCAGCCCCAGGCCGCTGCCGCCTGCTCTTCCCCGCTCTCTGTAAATTGGCGCGGAACCGGCATTTCAGGGGCCGGAGAAACGCGCAGAGCCGGAGCAGCTCGCAGAGCCCCAGGGGTCAGGGAGCCCTGGCGTCCTGGGTAGAGTCCTCTCAGAGCTGGGGTGGGGAGAGGTGTAGCAGCTCCAGGGGGCCCGGTGTGCAGGGGACAGAAATAGCTAGGCGAGGAAGAGCTGTCTGGTTCTGTACATAAGGTGGGTGAATACACACTACTGCTGTGTGTGTGTATTTTTTGAAATGTATGTCCTATTACACTGTGTGTATACATTAGATGAGTGTATATATAATAAAAAATAATATGGCAGTGCATATAAAATATATGGTGGTTGTTTAATGTGGGTGTGTATTTATGTATAATAGACCAATATGCTACACTAATACATTGAAGGTGGGGAAGAGGAGATGACTGGGCTTAGTATGCCCTTTCTCTCCTTGCACACGCTGGATTCACTCTCCACCACCTAGATGAAGTATCCCCCTATACAAATGCACTGAATTAAATTTGCTATTGGTGTAAATGCGCACATGTATTTTGGAAAACATGGATTTACACTAGTGGTGAATCTGATCATGCATATGTATACCCTATATTGTGTGATTATGTAGATATAAAATACATGCACACTGTATATTTGTACGTATGTGCACACATACTTTGCATTGTGCTCTGATGCCTAATGGTGTAAAGCCAGTGTTGAAATGTGCAGCCCAAAAACCTTAGTGTTAAATCTGAGTTAAGCTCTGTAGTTTGCCCCATATTTCTCCTCTTGGGTCTATGGACTAAGTTCTTGTTCTTCCTGCATTCCAGGAAGGGATCCTACAGCCCAAGGAAGATGTCAAGACGCAGGTAATTTCTGACAGCTTCATAAACCAAACTAGCCTATGCCCCTTTAACAACAGCTGCTCTCTTCATGCTATATACGTTTTTCTCCTCTCCAGTAGTCGTTTGCAAGCCAAGCAGCAGCAGCAGCTGCTACCGCCACCCCCACCCTCCTGTCAGAAAGAGTCTCCACAAGAGCTGCAGGCACCAGAGTCTCTCCAGACCAAGAAGAGGAGAGCAACAGAGGTGAGCAAGGGACTAACTTACCTGGAAATATACAGGATTGGAAGGTTTGTTTCCTATACCTGCTGCTGTAGGGGGACAGGGAAGAATTGTGTTAGTTTTCTCAGTAGAACACATGATTAGGAAGTGGAGCAAGATGGTGGTGGTTTACTCTGCGCACTGCTTTATATGACAGTATGGTTGAGGGGCATTGATCAATTAATGTCTTTCTCAACAGGATATCCAGAAAGGAGAAGATGAAAAGGTCATTAAAAGACATCAGTATGAGATTAAGGTAATGCATTCATGCATACAAAACAGATTGGAACTCAATATGGCGGGGGAGGAGTCCTCCCATTTTATATATGCATTTGGCACTGGAAGATGTCAGTTGGGTCGTGAGGGGAAGCTACTATTCTACTGAAGTAGAGAGTATCATTGTTCAGGAACAGGACTTCTGAGTTGTATGCCCTCCTCTGCCACAGGCCGAAGGCTTATCTATATGTGGAAGGTTATTCTTGAATGAGGTCTGGTGTGGATTTAAAATGGAATTAATTCCAGAGCTTGTCTTAAACAAGAATGTTACACTGGTTTAAAACCGCAGCTTAAATTAAACCTATTTAGTTGAATGGGTGAAAAGGCTATGTGGGTGCTCTTATTTCAGTTTAAACCACGTTTATTTTGTTTTTTCTCAAGTCTCTTAGGAATCAGTTTAAAATGAACCAAGATAAGGCACTCTTAAACCAATGCAAGCCCTCTTATTTTAGTTTAACTAAAGCAGATTAAAACAGCACTTTGACTTTCCCCGAAGTCATAGTCAGGTCTTGTCTACAATAGTTAATGTCTTCTGGTTTTTTAAAAGAATGGGAATAATACTTAATTATATCAAAGGAATACACTGAAGCTAAACATGATGATTGTGAAGTGTTCTGAGAGATGGAAGGTGCTATATAGGTATAAAAGTTACTTTATTAACCAGCTGCAATCAGATGGTTCCATCTCACTAAATAGGTTTGTATGTATGGGATGTGTGCGTTTTTCATATGCAGTATTCTGCAAAATAAACGTGTCCTGGAACAGCTCTGTGGGCTACAGCAAATCTCATCCCATTAGAAATCACTTGCTGACAAACTGGCCACATCTTCCCTTTTTTTTTTTTTTTTTTTAAAGGGATTTAGCTCACTTTTAATCTGCTGCCTATATTCCATACAAATTTGATGTCCCCTCACTTTCATTGGTGGAAACTTATCAATAACTATGTTTATGCCTTCTCATAAGACTAAGCGGTCACCTGATGAACTTAATAGGCAGCAGGTTTAAAACAAACATAAGGTACTTCACACAATGTACAGTCAACCAGTGGAACTCATTGCTAGGGGGTGTTGTGAAGGCCAACAGTATAACTGGAATACAAAAAAATTAGATCCATCAATGGCAATTAGCCAGGATGGTCAGGGACACAACCCCATGCTTTGGATGTTGCTGAGCCTCTGGCTGCCGGAAGCTGGGACAGAATGATGGGATAGATCACTTGATATTGCCCTATTCTGTTCATTCACTTCGAAGCATCTGCCACTGGCCACCATCTGAAGACAGGATACTGGGCTAAATGGACCATGGGTCTGACCCACTGTGGCTGTTATGTTTTTAATTAAACAATCATGAAACAAGTTAGAGAGTCAGTTGTATAACAGGAATGACTCCCATATCATTTTAAGGTTTCCTGCATGAATAATTTTATATGTTCCTTGTTTTGGGTCTCCATTATGTATCATTTTTGGTCCTTGGCAGGCTGAAAAGCTGTTGCTGCTGCTTGACAGGTTCGTATCTAGCCCTGGAACTATGTGTGGGCAGTTTGCCCTTGAATAGTTAATTGACAGTAATACATTGCTGAGTCTCCACTGAGGTGCTGTAGATAGTTCATTTCTGTTCTTTCCTCCTTATGTTCCCCAGATGAAAAGTAGATAGTGGAATTGGCTGCTGTGTTCCCCATGACATTTTAGGTATTCAAGAGAACACAAATGTATTGTTCCACAGATAAATAAACTGATGGTTCAAGCAATGGATTAGTTACACCTTGGCTGATAAATGACAAGTTATTTACCTCCCAAAAGCCAGGTTCCTTTGATTTATCAGAATTACGTGCATGTGGTGGTTCCACCTTGACTAGAAAGTCATTCTTTTGTTTTCTAATTTTTCAATACCCATATGTATATCCTGGAACACTTAAAATTAACTAAAAGCTAGTTTATTCAAAATCTCACACATTTTGCTTATGTTTTTGAAATTACTTATAGCATTTTGAAGGATATTGAAGCTAGATGTACATGTAACCTGTACATAATAGACGTTATTCAATTTCTTCATTTATTTTATTCTGTTTAGTATGTACCTCAAAAGCAAACTGGGCAGGTGAAGTAAGCACTTATAAGATTTTTTTTGTTGTTGTTTACATTGTAGAGTTGTTGGCCACCCACAATATCAGGAGGCATCTCCCCCTGCATAATTATTGAAACACCCCACAAGGAAACGGTAGCTACTGACTTTTCCAGATTCAAGAAATACAGATTCAGAAACCTCTTCATAAATCCATCACCTTTGCCTGAATTTAGGTAAGTTATCTACATATTATTCCAAATTGTGATACAGTGAATTCGACACTATTAATTTAACTGTGTCCAATATTGGGTTCATAACCAGAGACAACTAAAATCTTCACTCCATCCACTCTGATTTCCCCCCTCTCCTGGTTCCCTCACCTGACCGCCCAAAAAATCTTTTTTTTTTTTTTTTTTTTTTGCAGGGAGGGGAGGGGGAACACAAAAGCAAAGAGGGTTACGTTAACTTTTCTAATTGGAGCCATTCTTTATAGCTTAATATCAAATACCAATGTAAAATCCAGTCATTTGCAAATATTATGATGTTTGGTTTGGGTGGTGTGTTTTGTTGTTTTTTTTGTTTTTAAGTGAACCGTATTCATGGCTATTGGAACCAGACATTTTGAAAACCTAGAGGCCAAAGAATTCTTAGTTACATTTTCTTTAAGGACTCTAAAGTATGTCTACTGTTTTGACCATGAGACAGTGTGTTATTCATTCTAATGCCTTGGCGGCTACCATAGAGCTATGCTGATAAAAGGCCTGGTTTGAGGTATAGCCCTGGTTTTTCCAGCTTTGGGAAGCATTGTGGAGGCATCATCTTCATAGAGACACTAGTGAGGAGGAAAGGTCTCCTACTGGTGGAAACTAATTATAGTGTGGAGTAGATCTGCTAGAGAAATGTACAGAATATATTGTATGGAGCAATCATGCACTTCCCAGGTGGATGGACTAGAACTAGATGATAACCTGATTTGAAGAAGCCTTCAGCCTCTAATGTCTAAGGAATTCACACAGATTGGGGAAGCGTATTAGCTGGATACTTCTGCTAAAATGTTCCAGCTATGAAATAGTTGTTACATAAATTATCATGGTGTTTGAGTTAATACGCCACTGAGATGAGTGAATAGGTTCCATTTTTATCAGTTATTTTACTCTCTAAAGAACAGAATGATGAGGTGAGTAGGACTTGGAAAATTTAGCAGATGCCTAATAGCCCACAGTAGATATGAAAGATGAGGATGGGTGGGTGATCTCTGTGAACCCAGGAGCAATGCCCTTTTGAGAAGCTGAACTCCTTTATAGCTTCCCCCACCTGCAGTTTCTGGAAAGGGTGCTAAGATTTCTTCCAGAATTCTGTTCATAGACTCTACCCTGTGGACTCCATGTTTCATATCTGTTGAGCTAATAAGTATCTGATTTAAACCTCCTTCAGCTGCAGTACAGGAAAATCACTCACTTCTGCCCTTTCCAGAGTTGCCTAGCAGTTGTAAGAAGATGATGGAAAGGGGTCTCTGATACTTTTAACCCCATTTTTGGGGATCCCCTTCCCTTGAATAAATCCAGCAAATACTTCTGCACCTTCTCATATCTTTCACCAGCAGCTGAGTAAAATTGACGTGGCCTTTTGCTTGGTACTATTCAGAACCTTGTGGGTAGCAGTGGAACTGATCCATCTTGTGAATGTGACTCTGTTGCTGCGTGGCAAGAAGTAGGAGCAGCAGCAGACACTGAAACTGATAGTCTGAGTGAGGACTGATGAAGACGACAATACATCAGTCAACATGTGATTCAAGTTTTGGAGCACTTTCTGAGGCTATGTTTATGCTTAAAACGCTTCAGTGTAGGCACTTAGAACACCACCTATTGCTGTAGTATCACTGTGGTAATCCACCTCGTGAGAGGCACTAGCTAGATCAATGGAAAATTTTTTGACCTAGCACTGTCTATACCAGGGGTTATGTCAGCTTAACTGTCTGTCGGGGGTGTGGATTTTTCACACCCTAGGAGACTTACCTATGCCGATCACTTTTTCAGGGTGGATGAGCCATTAGTGACTACATGGTGAGATGTGTACTTTAAAAAAACACATACCAAAAAACCCCAAAACACTATAATAATGCAAAGTTAAAATGATACAAAAATGATGTAGGAAACAGGAAGGGAGAGAATAATGAATTCTTAACACCAGTAGTTTGGTCTGGCTTCTAGCACTAAATCAGGTTGAAGGGTGTGGGGTGGTTTTCTTTTTTTTGGTTGTGGTGGGTGTCTTAAGTAGTCTTTTATCTATTTGGGAAGCCCAGTTTTCAAATGGATCAAATCTGAACTGTATGACCAAATGGACAGGCAAAATAAGCAACTGTGCTCCAAGTGGTGACTTGCATGTTTGTGTACTTGAACGTTGGGTTATTCAGATATATCTTGGGTTTGGTGATTGATAGGCTACTTCTGGGATTTCAGAACAAAGTATGCCTGTAGTTGTCTAACTTTTAAAATATTTTTTTTACCAAAATATTTTTTCTGATTGCATATAAACAGGTAACTATTGAAAAATTAACTTAAAATATAACACAATAAGATAAACATTTGTATCTTTTTGTAAAGAGACCTCAAAACTTCATATGACTTTATTCCATAGCTGGGGAAATTCCAAAGACGTCTGGCTCAATATCCTGAAGAAGGAGAACAAATATGCTCACTGCAAACATTTTACATCGCTACATTCTAACTTGCAACCACACATGAGGTCAATACTCCTGGACTGGCTTTTGGAGGTATATTTTGAATTACTTTATATTGTGCTATGGCTGTAAAATAGATCAGTATAAAAGCAAAGACTTTACATAAAGTGCTAATATCTGTGATCGTGTAGACATAAATGACAAACACATTTTGAAACAAAGTTGACCATGCTGACCTCTAAAATAGAGCAGGGAGTATTCCTTCTTTTTGGCCCTTTTTAATGCATCAGTATTGTGGGTAGAATGGAATGAGTGTATTGCCTTAAATCTTTTTTTTTTTTTTTTAAATGAAAAATGCAGTTCTATAAACTTTTTGTAAATTTGACATGAATAGTTTTTGACTGCTCACAAAATGGCCAGAGAAGGTGGTGCTGGTGCTCCCCATATAACGCTTAGCTCAGTTGTTAAGGCACTCACCTGGGATGTGGGATAACTAGGTTCAAATTCCAGTTCCGGAAGAGAACCTAAATGGTCTTTCTCCTCCGCCCCCCATTCACCAGAAATTTCAGATTGTTATAGCTGAATCCCCCCCCCCCCCCCGCAAAACCCAAACAAACCTGCAGCTGAACTGAAAAATTATCTGCCCATCTCTAGTTGTGGAGAATCCTGCTTCAGCATGGTTGTAAACTGAAATGGTTATAGCATGATTATATATGGGACCTTAATCATATCCCCAAAGCTTGGGACAATCTAATAGCTGAATAGTTTTGGGGACATGGCTAAGGCCCTGTGTATGGTACAGAAAAGATCAGTGTTTATAGCTGTTTCTCCTGATGTTTATATTTAGTGTTCCAAACACAACTCCCCTTTTAAAATAGATTTGTGCGTAAATGGGGGTGGGTCAAATTTTGCTCAAAAGATTTCACAAGTTTGCTTGTGCAGTACCTTAAAGGGGCAATGGCTAGCTTGATAACTGTTCAAAACAGTTTGACGCTCTCCCATTGGCAGCCAAACCACATTCAAAACTATTTGAGACTGGATTTGTTTTGGAAATGGTTGAAGAACACAGCTCTTGTATTATAATACCCTCTGGTTTTAGGGATGTCTAACTGTTGCTCCACTGGTGGATCTGAGAGAGATTGTGAAACATGGTAAATTTCATGACATCAAATGTGCTCCACACAAGTAGCTGTTAATGCTGGTGGCCACCAATGCCTTATTTACATTAGAACTCCCATTATTGCTATTGGCAATGGAACTACACAGGCTGTAAATTTTTCCCCTAAAATTTACCAGACTATTATCAAAGTGATGCAAACTACAAGATCTCACCATTTACTCCCAATATGTTAATATATTCAACACCTCTAAATTTGGCTCATTGTCATCTTCTAGAGACCGCTATTAGTTATGAAAAAAGAAAAGGAGTACTTGTGGCACCTTAGAGACTAACAAATTTATTTGAGCATAAAGGTGCCACAAGACTAACACGGCTGTTACTCTGAAACCTGTTATGAGTTCATCCAATTTGAATGAAAATGCAACTGATAGCTCTTAAGTAGCTCAGAGCAGCGCTGTATGTCACAAGTAGTCAGCATGGTGCATCTTACTCTCATGCTCCCACCATTATTGTTGGCAGTGGTGGGAAACTTTAGAGGGTGGGTGAAGAGGGCTAGTGTAAACTAAACCCTTGTGGACAGTGCCAATGAATAGTTTACAGATTGAGGTACAGAAAGGAGGATTGCTCTAGTTCATCTTTAATGTATCAGGAAAAGTAACTACATTGCTCCTTTCGGTTTCTACATGCAAGCTTGTTTTGTATATCCAGTGAATGTTAAAACTGCATGTCCTACTTTGGCTATGTCTACGCTGCACTTTTGTCAGTAAAACTTTTGTTGCTCAGGTGTAGGAAAAAAATACACCTCGATTGGAAAAAGCACTGATGAGGACAGCACTGTCCGTGGGAGACGCTCACCTACCGACAAAGCTACCACCCCTTGTTGGGGGTAGTTTTTATTTTGTTGGCAGGAGAGCAGCTACACTGCATGTCTTACAGTGGCACGGCTTAGGGGCTTAGGGGCATAGCTGTGCCGCTGTAAGCTGCTCAGTGCAGGCACAGCCTTTGTGTCACTTCCCTCCTGATGTGTAACTTAACACCACACTGAGTGTCACTACTGAATTTGACACAAGTAATTCTATAGGAATTGCATCCACTTGCTTCAGGATGGATTTGTCCCCTACCTTTTGTTTAAGGCCTTATCTAGCATAGGAATTAAAGGTATGATGTTATGTATTAGCTAGCTAATACCACACCTTTTACCCTAGTCTAGACTAAACAGTATTTGACCCAACTGGTAACTTCTCCCCCACCCCCCCAACATTAGAATGGGAAACCCACAAACCAGACCATTTCAGATTTTTAGCCCCTTCCACTATGAAATATCTAGTGACATTGATATTTAAATTAAGTACTGACTTTGCACTCAGTTGAAACTAATTATAGGTGGAACAATTCAAAACCACCTGAAACAGTAATTCAGGAGGCATGAAGTTGTTTGCAGAGAAATTTAGTAGGTGTGGTTTTTTTGTTTTTTTTTTTAAATTAGGTAACATGTAATCTTAAGGGGGAAATGGCTGGCTTAATATCTGCCTGAAGTTAAGAGGAGAAATGCAGAATCCTAAATAAGATTGAGTTTTTTGGTGGATTTAGCCTTTTTTTACAATTCATTTTAAGGCAAAACAGGCATGAAACTAAACTGATGTTAGTTGTATGCCTGTTTTGCCTTAAAATGAATTGTAAAAAAAGGCTAAATCCACCAAAAAACTCAATCTTATTTAGGATTCTGCATTTCTCCTCTTAACTTCAGGCAGATATTAAGCCAGCCATTTCCCCCTTAAGATTACATGTTAATTAAAAAAAAAAAAAAAAACACCCCAAAAAAACACACCTACTAAATTTCTCTGCAAACAACTTCAAAACCAAGACCTTGTGTATCATATTTGAAAACTTGCTAGCAGGTTGTGCTTAACCCTGGGTGTTGAACAGATTTTCCCCCCTCCCCACCCCCAAGCAAACCACCACAAACTAACAAATTTGGAAACATGACTATCTTTGTTCACATTAAGGACAAAATTGTATTTTACCATTAAAACAGGTTTACTAACATTTATACTTGCAGGGGGGGGGTGGAGAAATGCATCACACTGTAGAACAGAAAACTTTACTTTTTTTTTTTTTTTTTGGTCTTAGGTATGTGAAGTATATATGCTTCACAGAGAAACCTTCTACCTAGCTCAAGATTTTTTTGATAGATTCATGTTGACACAAAAGAATATCAATAAAAATATGCTTCAGCTAATAGGAATTACCTCATTATTCATTGCCTCCAAACTTGAGGTAAGTGGCTATATGCATGGTGTTTTTAGGGTTGGAATATCTTAACTGCTTCTTGAAGAGAAATGATAATTTGTTAACCTGGTATTCTTACAAGGAACACCTGTGATTAGAGAAATTTTCTTTAACTTTTTGGATCTTTTAGCCTTCTGTGTGTAGTCAGTTTCTGTTTCCCATGCATAATCCAAAAGTCCATCAGTTTCCTCTGTGGCCTTCTACACAGCAGTAGGGGACAGAAACATTTTAAAGAGGGGCTTTTTCTTTTTTCAAAACCACAGAAATTGGTAGGTGATCAGAGGGACAGGCATAGGACCTGAAACTACTGAACTGTTGAAATAAGATTTCAAATTGATGTTTCTTTAAACCTGGTTTTAAAAAACAAACTTTTTTTATACTGGCAAAAGCCCTAGTATAGATGCAGCTATACTGGTAAAAGTACTCTTGCTGGTATAAACTGCATCTACTAAGATTTAATATAGCTATTGGTATATAGATGTCTTCAAGGAGTGGTATGGTAAATGGTGTTGTGTTGTTTCACTGGGGGTCTCAGAATCGTCGGAGCAGGTGAAGAGCCTTGACTCTGAAGGTGATATAAGCAAGAAATAATTCTGTTTTGGTCAACATTGCTCCCCATCCATAAAATTGGTTCTAATAAAGTCTATGATGGCCTGTGGAATACATAATGTCTGCTCTATTACTATTTAATGGTTGTGCACTACAAGTTTCTAGCTCACTTTTTGTGGACCTCTAAAGTATGAAAGGCTTATGCTATTGGTATTATCATAAGAAATAGCTGAAGTACAGCTATTTCAATTGAGTTGATAAAATGGTTCTGTGTATAAATCTATATAAAGAGTCACAGCTGTCTTCTGCAGTTCGTTTGCATTCTTGCAGGATACAAAAACCCTTCTGATCTTGAATTTTTTTTTTTAAAGGAGATATATGCTCCTAAACTACAAGAGTTTGCTTATGTCACAGATGGCGCTTGTAGCGAAGATGATATTATAAGAATGGAGCTCATTGTATTAAAGGTAATGTAACAGTCTTACTATTTTGATTAGCTGGTTGAGTGATAGCCCAGTAAAGCCTTTCATTTTAGCATCTTGTTATATTTAATAACTGCTCTCTTGGTGCCCTTTTCCCCATCCGTAGGCAAAAAGTAGTACCTCACTTCTAACTTTCTGAAAAATTTAATTTTTCAGAATCTCCTAGGCTGACCTCCTTTAGGGTGGAGGTCTACTTTAAGGGCCCCTCTTTGCCACCTAAGTCCTACTTTTTGTTTTCTGCAAAGAAAGGGTCGGCCCCCAAGAACTTTATGTAATGGAAGGTGGCTTCTCCTTCCCACCCCTCCTCAATAGGCCTGGCTGGAGGATGGCAGGCTGGGGGTGGAGAGGAACTTCTGAAATAGACCATACAAATAGTCAAAAAGACTGTATTAGAACCTGTTGGAAGATTTTATTGAAACATTTTTCATCAAAATCTAATTGTTCTGCCCTACCTTTTGATGAAATTCTACCAGAAACCAGGCAGGCTTTGAAACCTGGTTACCTGCCAGACTCCTCTACAGACCACCTGGCAGGTTGACCAGTAACCTGGAATCCTGACTTATGGCTCCTTAGCAGCCAGCCAGGTAGACTGCCCTGCAGTTGGGGCTTCCAGGGTCCCCGGCTTTGGGCTGTCTGCCAGGTGGAATGCCTCCATGCCAAGGTTCCCAGAAGAGTTGGGTGGAAAATGGTAATCTTGTTCTGCTGAGAACTTTGGAATTTTTTGGTTTTTATCCTGAGTCCTCCAAAACTAAATTATCTGTGCTAGGCTGCAGCTACTGTAGTTCCAGTTCCAAGGCCATGGCACATCTTGGGAATGTATGATTTGCTTCCCTAGCTCTTATGTGCATCTCCTGCATGAGGACACTTGCTCAGTATTTGTGAGGCATCTTTTGGAGAAGGTGGGGGGAAAAGGGTGGGAAAGATGTTCTGGCTGTTGTTGAAATCCAGGCTTGTTCCAGCTCTTATTTCTAAAAGTCAGAAGTTATTTCCAGAGCACATGTGTACTTGAAATCGTAGGGGATCTTGCATGTGATTCCAGCACATAAGTGCATGACAGAAGGTCTGGCTGACCTAAGTGGAGTTGAAAATGGGGAAAGGAGACTGGGTAAGATGGTGGGGGTAGAGAAGTTGGTTGGTTGGTGTTTTTGTTTTTTATATATAAATAATTGGGGGGAGGGATGGAAGGAGGTGCTATGCACTTAAGTTCTTATTAAAAACATGAAATAAATATATATAATTTTCTATCTGTAGGCTTTAAAATGGGAACTGTGCCCAGTGACAATCATTTCCTGGCTCAATCTTTATCTCCAAGTGGATGCTTTGAAAGATGTTCCAAAAGTGCTGCTACCTCAGTATTCTCAGGAAAAATTCATTCAAATAGCACAGGTAGGTAGTTTCAGTCAGTGCACGCTGCTTAACATGCTACTGTTGGTGACCTAGGCAGAAGTGTATATGCTGTAAAATAAGATTTATAAAAATACCTTACCTACTGTTAAAGGAACAAGGCAGAGTTTTATATGATAATATCTAAGTGGTTCCCTGAAGGTTGGTGACTATTTTAATTAAAAAAATAAAAAGTGCAATAAGGTCACTCGATGTAATGCCAACAATCTAAGCCTCTAGGAGCAAAAATGCCCAACAGCACACGCTTCTATCTCTCTCCCCGCTCCCCCACCCTTGCTAAGCTTTTGTTAGTAGGGTTCCAGTGTCCATCGGATGGTTTTATAGCCTAGTTATGGAAGTGGGGCCAACACTCATTAAGGAAACCATGCTATAACTGTTTCAATACACTTGCTGGTAAGCTTTGATCCCAGGGTGGACAGGACTAGAGTATTACACAAGGTAGTGCTTGATGGGTGGCAAAGGATTTTAAAGGTGTGAATGGATGTATGTGTTAAGTTGCTTCACATATAAATAAAAAAAATCAAAATAATGTACGTTCTCTATTTGGGAAAGAAAGAAAGAAGGAACTGAGTTTGGTTTAGTGCTCCAAGTGTTTTTTCATACTAATCTCTGTGCACATTTTTATCAGCAGTATAAGAAGCATAAGTGTTACTAGATGGGCATATGAACCTAGGAACCTCCCCTCCCCCACTCTTAAATCTATACAATTTTGAAACTGAAATAATTGAATCATTATGGACTCTTTCCATGTTCATGCTTGGTCATTCAGATGGCTGTTAATTGTGAGGAGGCCAATCCCCAAAACAAAACACTGAGCTAGAGCTGTAGATTCTGGACAATCGAAAAATTTAGAACAGAGTGATTTGGTTAGACCAGTGCAACTTCATGGCCTTTGTCTTGTGTTACAAACCAGTTTACTGAAAGGTCCCTTAGTCTTAAGTTCTAATATTTTTATGTGGGGGGGGAATAAATGGTGCCTGTACAGTGTATCTCTTTTAGTGGTTTAGTCCTATGATGTGCCTGGGACTCTCCCTCTCATAAAAGAAACTTTGTAACCATTACTATTGTTTTCACAGCTTTTAGACCTATGTATTCTAGATGTCAGTTCTCTGGACTTCCAGTATAGGACACTGGCTGCTGCTGCACTCTGCCACTATTCCTCAGCTGAGGTAGTTAAAAAAGCTTCAGGTAATGTGGTCTACTACTATGAGAGCTAATTAAGTGGTTCCAGTTCATTCCTATATCACACCTTAAATGCTTGGAGCACTGCAAAACTTTCTAAAAATTGAACCTGAGGTCATTAAAATTATCTTGCTTTTAACAGCATGCTTTTTGCTGCTTTTTACTTAAAAAAAAAAAAAAAAAAAAGTGTTTCTCAACTTGATCAATTTAAAATAGATTCAGTTTTGGATCTATTTTATTTTTCAGGTTCCTCATTCACTTGCACCCCATACTATGTTAGGGTCACAACCACTGGAAGCATAAAATTTTTGTGCCTCTGAGGTGAAGTATCTGGAAACATAACAAAATATTTTGTTGCTCCTGGTCTGCTGCTATTTCTGTAGCTGCTGCTCTGTAAACTAAAAATTCAACAGCAATCCCTATTAGTTTATGATCTGGCTCCAGTAGCCTGTATCTTGTTCTTTCTGGGGAAGGTGATTTGTTTATCATCAGTCATTCTTGACTGACAGCAGCACTCCAGGATAAAAACTTTTGTGGGGATTCCTATCAACCTGTCCTCTTGAAGCAAAGGATTCTGAAGTGGAGTGGCTGGACATAGCAGAAATAGGTTGATGATATGAAAGGACAAACAGTAATTTTGGGTAATGTTAAAAAGTTGGAGTTTTGGTGACTTAACCTTATATGAGTGTGTTATGTGGGTTTTATTTGTGTTGACTCCCACAAGACAGCATGCCTTTGTCAGTATTGGGATTCATCTTCATGCAAGGGGATAACTTGAAAAATGTAGCAAGATTATTTTGATATAGTGATGTCTGATTATTCCTATCCCTGTGCATGAGATTAATACAGTGATATTGATAGATAAAGAGGAAGTTAATCAGAAGCTGCAGCACTGATACATCTGAGTATTTGGGTCCCAATTTGTTACTTTTGTAGAGACTATTGGCTACCACAAAACATTTCTTCCTTCTCTAATATCAGATTTTTCCTGTCAGGCCTGCTGTAAAGTAAATGATTAAAAATAGGAGTTTATAATTAGATGTTCTAGGCCAGGAACTCCCCTTACTTTCTGCTGTGAGCCCCTGGTTATTCCCCATAGTAGTAGCTTAATGTAACTTTATATAGAGGGGTAGGTTGGCACCTCTCACTTAAGATACCAAATACTGAGGAAAGTGGAATACCACAGGAGCACCTCCATTTTTTTTGTCAGATTTTTCTACTGGATTTTAACTATTTTCCCATTTTCTGCTACCCCTCTATTAAGAGCAAGAGCATGAAACTGATCAGATCTTGTACCTTCCCTGTGATGCTCTTCTATAAAGACCTGCACAGAGCAGTGGCTCTTAGCATGTCCAGGGTTGCTGATTCCACATCTAGTCTATTACTGAAGGCCAGTGAAAAAGTTTAAGCCTTATGAGAGGGGGGATGTTTAGGAGTGTGATGATTGTTCATATGGTTTGGGGCTCGAGTAAAACTAAATGTTTGCTATCTTAATTCACTGGGATTATATGACAAGACTTTGACCCCTAAGTGGTAGGGCAGGATGCAAACAAGTCACTCTAGGTAGGGTTTTTTTTAACTCTAACTTTAAACCTGCAGCTAGTAACTATATCAATAAAGATATGCACAAAGCACAGGAAAGTGGAAACAAGCTATTTTAGCCTCTCATTTACCATGTTAGAATGCTGGGCAGGGGATGGATATGCAGCTAGGTTTAGCTGCACAATGCCTAAAAGCTGATATTTTATTTTTCTCCTTAGGTTTAGATTGGGACAGCATTTCAGAATGTGTAGAGTGGATGGTACCTTTTGTTAGGGTGGCAAGAAAAGCCCCCGTGAAATTGAAGAGTTTTAAGAAGGTTGCAGTGGAAGACAGACATAATATCCAAACCCACACAAACTACTTGGACATGTTGGTATGGCTTTTTTTTTTGGTGTTTTTGTCTGTATATCAAACACTGATTTGTAGGATGCTTAAGCTTAAAACAGGTGGAAAACAGTATAGTTCCTAAGGCTCTGCCCACATACTCATTGGTCTAGCTCATAGGTTTTCAACCTTTTTTCATTTGCAGACCCTTAAATTTCAAAATCTTAGTTGGTGGACTCCTAGGGGTCTGTAGACCACAGGTTGAAAACCACTGGTCTAGCTGACTAGAGGCAAGTACCATGGTTGGCTGGGGAAGAGTCAATGAAACCTTGGTTGTATCACTGTATCTTCCAGGTACTTTACAGACCTGATGCATATTTTCCCCTCTGTTAAACAGCCAGTTACTCCACATCCATATATGTAGCAAAGGCTGTCATGTGCTGGGGAAAGGATGACTGGCTAGGCTGCTTACACAAACATGGTGAAGGAGTATGCCTATCTCTGCAAAAGGATGCTGAACTAGCAGCAGGAAGACCACCATAGGTCACACTAGGCTTCTAGAAGGAGCAAAACAGCTAGGGCCCATAACTGTTTGTCACACCTGGCTATAATGTGGCACACTTCATTAAGATATGTAGTATGGACAGGCCTATACTACCTTGTCACTCTACCTGCAGGTAGAGTTGCTAAGAATGTTATCTGTGGAACAGTATTGACTGATGTTTTTAAAAGTACTGTTGACAGTAGGGCCAGGTGTTTACTACAGGCAGTTTTGTTGACCCCAACTGTGCCAGATGTCCCATTGATAAACTATATACCAGTAAACATGCAACCTTATTTCACTAATGGAGGTGTGTGCATGTGAGTGAAATTTACTATACTGCTACAATATGCAGCCTCACCAAATCTAGTATTCCAGTAAAATGGTCCTAGCACAGCCATAGGCCGATTAAAGCACTCTGCCAACCACTTAAGGACATGGTGGTGATATAAGTCCATGTTTGCACAAGGAAACTACTACCATAATTGGAATGCCATTTTACTTGGACCTGAAGTTGTAAAATAAGAGACTCTCTCTTGACTATTTGAATACACTAATGACCAGCAAGTCTCTGTGTAGTTTGAGGTGCTCAAGCACTTGAAATACCTGAATTTATCTTCAATTCCTATCCATTTTCTCTCCTTTCTAAGTCCATGTTAAGGACTACCTTGAGAAAATTCTACTTAAACTAGACAAAAGTATATCTGGGATATTTAAATGTTGTAGTAGTAACTGTAGCACCTCAATGGAAGATAGAGCCTTGAATAAAGAACTAAGCACAACCCTTATACAATGCAAAGTGAAATCCACTTTAACATTGCTTGGTTTTTTTCTCTTTCAATTTACATAGGATGAAGTGAATTGTGGAGTAGCTCTAACAGCACCAGGACAATTATCTCCAGGGTGTATCGGAGGAATAATAACACCCCCAAAAAGCACAGAGAAAAAGTGAAAGTATGGAAACCACTGACAAGACAAATGCAATGAACACTCAGTGGTAGAAACTCCAAAGCAGGACATTGTTTCAGTACAAAGCTACCCTAAAGCAGAGACTCAATCTAATCCTTGAACACTTTCTGCCTCTCAACATCCTGTATAGCAATTAGACATGTCAAACTGAGTAATGGATAGCTTTGCCTTTTGCAGACTTCAGATTTAAGAATTGTTATGCAACCCCCTTCCCTCCCTAGGTTACACAGGAGGTTGGACTAGATCATTTGGTCCCTTCTGCTTTTAATCTCCACTACAGGAGGAATATTAACTAATTTAACCAACCTTTAAATTATGAATAGTTCCATTATGGATTTTTTAAACTTGTTTTAAAACATCTTGTAGGATAGCAGGAGAAACAAAGCTATATTTGTTCAATGTGTTGCTTGTTAAAGCAACAGTGTACAAATTCCCTAATAGCATGGTGACTATTTTCTTGGTATAGTCAGCTTTTAAACCTGACTTCAACAACAAAAAAGCAGCCCCCTTAACTGATGTCACCTGTACCAATACCACTTTTTCCTGGTTTGTATGGTGCTTGCAATATCTAAAGTCAAAGGCCATGTTTAAGTTGGAAATTTAACCTGACTGCATTTAGCAGTTTTGCCTACCTACCTTGATGTTGGTGCAAGGGGAATTACCATTTGAAGCCCAGGTGAGCTTCTAAGGCCAAAATAGCATCTCTATATGGGTAGGGCTAGATTAAAGCCTCTGCCTAGACAAGGCCTAAGTAAAGTGACAGATTACTTTTAAAATTGCTTTGGGGAAGGGCTGCTGAAGAGGTGCTAACCTGAACTTGTTCTAAGTCCTAAGTTTGACCTCAGGTAAAAGTAACAAGTTGCTGCTGATGTAATTTAACTGGAAAAATAATTGAAGGGAAAATATTCTACTACATATTAAGAGCTAAACATGGCCCCTTTTAAATGTAGAGTTCTTAGCTAGAACTATAGTGGTTTTAGAAAGAGGTACACCTTGACTACAAGAAGTCTACAGCCACTCAAAGTGGAAGCAGTGTTTTAATACCCCATACTGTGTAGGTATCAATGTTTAAAACAGCATTAACCACCCCTCTATTCACTACCTCTGCTCCTGCCATGCTTAGCTTCTGTTCTACAACAGCAAGGAGCATCTTTTTGATCAATTACATGCTTCAGGAAATCTAGAGTAAACAATTTTATAGAACTCAAAGCAAGACTCTTGATGGCAATGTGTGAGCTGTGCTTATTCAATGCACATCATCACAATAAGTAATAGCCTCTATGTACATATTTTTAATCAACTGTATTAAACTCAGCATTTTCTACTAGTTTCTTAATTTGAAGCAATGAATTCAAGCTTCAGCTGATTTAAAGCATTACATAAGTTAGTATTCCAGCTCTTCTGTATAATTTTGTAAGATAAGGGGTTTTATTGTAATATTTCATCTATTTTAAAAAAACACACAATATGCTTGTAAATACGTATTGTATAAATTTCAAATACTCAACACATGAGTTAAATAAAGTGAAATATTTTCCACTCTACACCAGCATTTATAGGAATGTTTAAAAGTAAAGTTTTGCCATTGCTTGAAGAAATTTCTTTTTTCGTCTCTGTGCAGCAAGTTGCAATACTTCTTCTGGATTGCTAGCATTCAGCTCAGTCTGGCCAATAGCTTTAATCTTTGAAATACAAAAAACAAGAATTTTTCTAATACAAGTGAACAATAAGGTTATTAGTAATAAGACAGTTTTTGCTTTAGTCCAAAGAGTAAGTATATTTCACCTTTATAAAAAGGTGAATGTTGATATGAACTGTAGAATAAGCATTAACTTTATAGTTTCAGCTAGGCCATAGAGGACTGAACAAAACTGTTGATGTAATTCAAAGCTAAAAAATCCCTACCACCCAACCCCTCCCCTTCTTTAACTTACTGCTATTTGTCTCTTGTCTGTCTCTCCTCTCTTATGATGGAGATCTGAACAAGAGTCAAGGAAAGTATTCATGTGTAATACAGCAACACTACAAATGAGCTGTGATCTAAAATGCAAGACACTTACATAGTATGTCCTGAGCAATAACTGCTCTGTTAATGGCTGAGCAAGTCACAGAACAGGGTAGAAAAGTAGTTTGTGTCCAAGTTCCAGTCACATCAAAAGCTCTATACACGCTGAGCCAGCAAGTAGTAGTATAGATGCTCCTTTCAACCCCAGCAGACCTAGACCCTGACCAAGGCAATATGACAACACCACCTATTACTCCTGAGGGGACTTTGTATGCCTGCAGAAAAGCACTTTTACAGTGATCGTGACTTCTCTGTTGTAGCAAATAAATTAAGTACATGCTAGTCATGAAAAGGGGAGGGAGGTGGTGCTATGCCCTTGCCATTGCCAATTTTGCATCCTTCAGGTAGCTCCAGTTGACAGGTAGTGACTTGATGTCCAGTGAATTACTGATTGATTGCCTACTCTTGCACATGTGCTTGGGTGGGGGTAGAGGTGGCCAAGATGAACAGGGGCTTAAGGTTTATGGCCCCTGTATTTCAAACCAAATAAAGAAACCCAAAGTAGGGAAGCAATGTAGGGGGGAAACCATGGGTGTAGTGTTTTAGGGGAGTAGAGATGAGGCATGGGGGGGTACATAGAGGGTTACATGACACTGTCTCCCCTCATTTCTGCAAGCACAGAGCTGCCCAACTGAAGGAGGCTGCATCTGAGCTCCACTGACATTAGCTGACCACCACCAGTTGTGTGCTTTCTGTGTGCTGGGAGCCTTCTTGTTCTCTGTGCAGAGTGCCCATAGTCAGGCAAGGTAAGGGGAAGAGGCAGTGGAGGTGGAATGGGGGAGTGAGAAAGGGGATGGAAAAGTGGGAGCCTGGCCAGCAGCAGGGGAATCCCACCCTGACAAACCATACACCTGGACCCCCCACTCCCTCAAGACCCTGCTATTGAGCCTCAACCACCTTCACCTGGATCCCCTGCAGCCAGAACTCCCCACCCCAGGCCCTTTTCATCCAGACTGCCCCACACAAACCTCTCACCCCACCCCTGGCAGAGTGGGCAGGTCCCAGGGTGTTTCACAAGTAGACCCCCTCCTTGCACTGTGTCAGGGTCAGGTGCAGCCTCACTACAGCATACCAAGGGAGCTGGGGGCTTCAGGGTAATCTCCCACCTCAATGCAGCCAGTAGCCTGTATGGCCCCCTGCCATGCTGGAGCCATATTTATTTATTAACAAATAAAAGTTGCAGAATTTTGCAAAATTTTAAAATATTGTGTGCATAATTTTTAGGCCCAGAATTGCCTCAAGAGTAACCTATTTATATCTACGCGTTTAGCATGAAATTTAACAGCAACTCAACTGTCAATACACTTAAGCTTTTTGTTGGTTTTTCAACATGACCCCACAAGATGCTTTTGCTTTAACTATTTCTAATGAAAGGATACATGTCAAGTATTCCAAAATGGTAACATCCCAGATGTAGTCATAGTAAGAATCCATAGCATCATGGCTGAAACAGAATATCAATTAATTCATGGAATATGTACAGCATTTTAATTTTAAACATAAAAATGTTTTTACCTGTTTTGTTCCTGCAGTGCCTTAAATGCGGTTTTATAGTCTACTTCTCTGAGGAACTGGCATAAAATTGCTACCTGTAGGAAGAAAGACTAACTTATTTCCTTAAAGCTTGTCTCTTTTCATGCTGTAATATTGGACAAATGTTTCTCCACTACGTGGGAAATTTAATAATTACATCTAGTTTTCATAGTAAATGGCTTTTCAGTCTAAACTTAGTGTTTGCAGAATGAATCAAAATAGCAGAAGCAAGGACAGTAAATTAAGCTTTATGAAGTGGCTTTGCTCCAATTAAGGGCATAACACAGCCTTTCAAGCCAGAGTAATACCAGCAGATGCAGGAGGGAAAAGGTCAGTCAGACCTGCTAACAACTCTCTATTTTTAGTCATCTATTCCACCCCACCCCAACAATAGCTTGGTGTAGGTCCAAAAGAGATGGTGATTAGGTGCAGATTTTTAAAAAAATGCTTGCAAGTCGCAATCTTGGAAGGGTAAAAGGAACTCACCTGAAGGGGTGGGGGAGGAGACAGAGGGTGACATGCCATTGATCTTTGCAGAGTTGGCTAATCCTAATTTACTTTTTCAAAGGGTGGAATCTTTGGCTGGTGGGTTCATTCTAGAGGACAGTTTTTTTTCTTTCCACAAGAGGGATCCAGATACTGTTGAGTGCAGCCCTGTTAGAATTCCTGCTCAGCCCCACTGATCTCTAGACTAGACTACCCTGTGTGGCTGTTAGGTTGAGCAGAGTCTGACTCCAGCCCTGGCAAGGATGTGCCCCCCATAATGCAAATCCCATTACATTCCCCAGCTGCTAGACTGGGCATTAAAACTCAAGGGGGTGGGGGGAGAGATTGCAAGGAAATGAATATTTTAAGATTAAACACATGAGAAGCTTGCAGTCTTTCTGAACTCAACTAATGTACTGACTAAGTGAGTTCAGATCTAAAATTTCATTGGCTGGTTCTGAAGCATTATCACAATATTTTGATTAGTTTCCCAACTCTGTCAGGGAATGTTTATGGAAACAAAACTTCTACATTTTTAAAACCAGATTTATTTTGTTAATTTTTTTCTTTTAAAGAGTGAGTTTGGACTTAAAATAAAAATGGACAGTTCTTTAAAATGAGTCCTTATTTAAAGTGGCACCTGAATACACTCTTACCTGGGTGTGGCAGTTGAGCAAAGAACAGCACTTTATCATTCTTTTTATCACCTATGGAGAACGAATTCACAAGACAATTACAACAGCTTCCAAAATGCTGATGTTTACATTAAGCACTTGTTAGCAAGTTATCTGACCCAGTAAACAAATGGTAAATAATTGTACAGACATTCTTTTCTTTAAAGATAAACTGAAGAGGTTATTTACCTGGAACTGGAGGGTCTTCAAGATATGTTGTACCTATTTGGATTCCAAATGTGGGTACGCATGCACCAGAATGTTTCATAGCAGTGTCCATTACCCTGCAGGTGTCGTAAGTTGCCTTGTTCTCCCATCCGAGGTTATACAATAAACGCTCTTTTATCCAGCACTTCACCAACTGGCAAAGTCTATAAACCGGCATTTCTGATCTGCACTGAAAGTCTGGTTTATAGTGTACGGAGTGCGGGACCAGCAGGGGGCTTGGGCATGGGAGGGAGCTGGATCGGGGGGATGGGGGGGCCCCACACCTCCGGCTGCTCCCTGTCCCTGCTGCTCCTGGTGGAGGCGTGGGCAGGCAGCTCTGCAAGCAGGTGCACTGTCTCTGTCTGCAGGCGCCACCCCCGCAGCTCCCATTGGTTTGTGGTTCCTCAGGTGAGCTCCCCAACCTGTAAGGGAGGCATCTGTTGTGATCGTGGATCATGGTGTGGGAGGAGTGAAGGGGGCATTGATCAGGACCTCGGAAGGGTCGGTCCACCAGTGAAGGATGCCAACACCTGCCATAGGATCAGGACCTTGTTGTCTAGCTGGTCTGTGTCTGGTTGGTAGACGGAGAGGAGCCAGATTTGCAAGCAATGCATGTGGGGGCAGGTGTGCAGTGTCACTGAGGTACATGCCGTTATATGGCCAAGAAGGGGAGAGAGTGGTGGATGGTGGTCTGGAGCTTACGGCTGGGGTCCGTGATTAGGGTTGTGAAGCAATTTCTTGGAAGGAAGACACATGCAGCAGCAGAGTCCAGCCATGCTCCAATGAAGGCAATGGTCTGGATAAGTACGAGGACTGATTTCTCTTCGCTAATACAAATGCCAAGAGAGGTGAGGAGAGCGTGGAGGGTGTGGATGGCAAAGAGGAGGGTTTAGCAGTAGCGCTCAACGAGGAGCCAGTTGTCCAGGTTAGGGAAGACTGAGTAGCCTAGAAGCTGAGTAGCTGAGTAGTTTTTGGGCATCAAAGAGCAGGTCCTCTATAGTGATCTGGACCTATTTGGGGAGCCCAGAGGACTGCATCCAGGATTGCAACACTGCTCGAGTAGCAAGTGAGCAGGAGGCCAAGTAAGCTGCGTTCATGGAGGACTGAGGACCCACCTTGGCCACCACATGGCCCTCATCAAGGAGCGATCAAGAGTCCAGGTGCTCCAGGCAGCAGGCACACCAATGCTGGGCTCAGAGATGGAGCTTGCACCAGTAGATTCTGTTTGTGCTTCTCCTTATGCTCCATCCAGGGCAGCTTGAGTGCTGGGCACCCTTGTCTATACGCAACTTGTCTCCGGACCTGGTACAACTTGGGGAGGCAACGCTGTATTTGTGAGCAGTCCTGGACAGGGACCTGCCCTTATGCCCTGGGCCATACTTCTTAGTCTCATGGCAGCGCTTGTCCAACTTCTTCAGTACCATCAGATCTGGCGCCTGAGAAGTGGACAGGGATGGGGAGGGTCTTGGTGACGGCCATTCAGGCACATGGCTTGCTCCATTAAGAACTTCCAGAGGCAAAATTCTCTAGCCTCACGCATTTGAGGCGGGAATGATTGGCAGATGATAGAGTGGGTGAC